CATACAATCATTTTAGCAGACTCTGATTGGCAGGTAATTGCTTGGCACTTATGTAGTCGCTTTTATTCTTTTGAACACCAGTGTTATTGTGTTTGTGGTTATCGAAAAGTAAATTACTTTTTTTTTTAAATACAAACTGATATCAGTGAAAAACTGAAACTAAACTAAAACTTTTTTAATTTGCATTTCATGTGTCCTAAACTAATTCAAACTGATTATAAATAGTAAATTATGGGAGCCCTAAAATACAAAAAAATAAAAATAAAAATAAAAAAATAAGCAACTGAGAACTACCAATGCCTTTATGTTTAAGGCATACACGTACTATACATATATATATATATATATATATAAAATCAACACAACTAAAATAACATAAAGATGACCATAAATTAATTTTAGTTTTATAATAAATATTACATTGGTTTTCAAAAAACTTAAAATGTTCATTAATTTGTCAGTGTATTAACCTGGTAGCCCTGAAAACTATTACAAATTAACTAACCTGAAAAACAAACCCCAGAATATAATAATAAAAAGAAAATAACCGTGTTGGTGTTGAACACAATGCTGAGCTGTTCACTTGACTAATCGCAAACAATTGAACAGTTATAATAATTGTATTTAATTTCAGGTATTTTACAGGATTTCTATTCAATTCAACAGTCTAAATGAGGTATAATCACTGCAGTCTCACAGTGAGGAATATTTATGGGCACATTTACCATGCAGTGTGGCCCAGAGGGTGACGGGAATAAACCTTTTTATCCTGATCAATGATGAATCATATTTGATATTTTAAGGCAAATAATCACTTTTTTGCTCTCGTTTATTTATGATTTTCTCTGGATATGAACAGATCTGATTACATGAATACACTTGCAAAAAATAAATCCTAAAAAGTATGCCACTTAAATGTAGTTGCTTAGAAAATGAAACCGTTTAATCAGCTTTTTTGTGAAATCTCTGAAACACAGGAGCTCATCTCATGTGCATAAGATGTACCGTCCTGCATAGAACACTAATCTGAAATAATTATCACACAAGTAAAACCATATAATTAAGTCTTTCAGAGTCACTGGTCTAAATCTTCCATTGAAATGTCCTAAACTGAAAAAACCTGCTCTGACAGGGAAGAAAGCAGTTAATTGTGGATACGAAATAAGTCGCCTGCAGTGACAAATGATTAATCACAGTCTTAAGTGTGAAACGTGTGAGAGAAAATGTAATTAGACTTCCATTTCACCATGGTAAACGAATCTATAGATTTCATGTTAGATAAGAAAAACATTACAGAGGTCCTGTACGCTTTGCTATACACAACTAGATCAAAATGTGACCTTCATTAAAAACGTATTCACACCATCTTTGCAGATGGCTTGTTTTCCAGGTGCAAAATGTCCTATTGAAACAATTATTTAAAGAAAAAGTTCTTACAAAGTTTATAACCTTGTCTTTTTTGTGTGTTTGCTCATTTGCTAGCTGTATTAGCTCACAGAACAAACAATTTAGGTTCATTTCAAAGTAGCTGAGGCCAGACTGATTATGCATAACTCTCCAATTACTCTCCCTCCCTTTCCCAATCCCTGTTTCTGAGCTTACCCCTCTCTGCCCCTCTTCTATCAAGCCCTGGGTCCGCAGTCCGGAGGTAGATCACTTTAATTCTGCTTCATGGATCTTTTTCAAAAAGGACCTGAGACCCGGAGACCCCAGAACCAGTGACCGCGGGCTGAACCCAGACCAGCCAGCCGGGCTCTGCGCACTCGTAAACACAGCCATCATCTCACATGCTCCCTTTTCCACACCACACTTTTGTTCCCTCCCAATCGGGCTCAGAGAGTATTTGTGAAAGTACATGCCCCCGAAAATCTGAATGACACACTTGACCCATGCTGCTGTTCAGTACCTACTGTATATGGTGAATTCATGGAGAGAAGAGGAAAACTGGTCAAATAATTGGCCAAATTCTTTATGTTCTGATGTAATCCCCGGCTTTCACTCAATGGGCTCTTTCTTCAAACCACTGAGCTGTAAATGGGTCAATGACAGACAAGTTTGTCAACAATAAAGTAAAGGAGCAAATATAGTTGAAAACAGATGTGGCAAATTCTGTACAATTTGTATTCACTTTTATAGTATTCAAGCTTTTATAGCATTTTCAGTTTAAATTGAATGACTCTTAAAATGTCATGTGGTGTGACCGTGAAAGTGTACCATTAATCGTTATAAATATTTGAAAAGAAATCAATTCAAAAATATAATTTTGTTTTTAGAAGTTGCAGCACATTACGTTTTAACATCTGACCTAACCTTGACTTGTCAAAAAAAAAAAAAAAAAAAAAAAAAAAAAATAATATAGTATTTTAAAAGACTTGTTGAAAAAGTCCAGATTTACTTTGTCATAAAAGTATCAATACCAAGGTGTATGTTGCACCTTGGACCTCTTGAGAAAAACTTGTCCTCTGAGAAAAACGAAATGAAGCCCAAATCCAAATGAGATTAACAAATTAAGTTATTCATCATCTTTTTAAGATTCTGGTAGCCTGCAAAAAGCAATTATGAGAACCTAACATCACATAGTTCATCTGTGGACCGAAATACAACATGCAACGTGTGCTGGCAAGACTTTCTAGGAGATCAAAACGACCATCGCCTGGTTTCCAGCATCCCAATAAATGGCACTTGGCTTAAGGCTTGCCATAGTGAAAATGGGATTTACAGTAATAGTGTCCCTAGGTGGAAATGGATTAGACTTGAGCAGCTACCTAGGGATGATCAAATGAGCAATTTCTTCTGGTCACCATAGCAATGACCTTTACATACGCCACGGATGGCAACCAGTACAGCATATTTTAATAAAAATGACAAGACATTTATTTTGAATATCATTTTCACTAAAGGAGTAGTTCACTTTCAAATAAGAAAATCCTGATTATTTACTCACCCCCTAAATTTTTTTTTTGAGGAAAACATTCCAGGAGTTTTCTTCATATAATGGACTTCAATGGCAACCAACGGTCTGAAGGTCCAAATATCAGTTTAAAATGCAGCTTCAAAGGCTCAACACGATCCCAGCCGGGAAATAAGGTTCTTATCTAGAACGCGATCGGTCATTTTCTAAAAAATAAAATAAAAAACTTTTTAAGCATAAATCCTATTATAAGTTTATAAGTTTGGAGTAGGAGGACCATTCAAAGTTATTGTATGTTGAACGACACATTTATGTACTATTTGTGTCAGTTTGTTGTTTAAAATGGTCCTAATGTGTGCATTTCCTGGATATTTAACAATGTCACCCGTGACCTTTCCAACTTGATGACGTAATGTGTGGCATATATCAGAGATAGCACAAGACGGGCATTTGTGGATAAAATTATTATAATTAGTATTTTATTTTAAAAAAATGGCCAATCGAGCCTTATTTCTCGGCCGGGATAGTGTCGAGCCTTCGAAGCTGCATTGAAACTGATATTTGAAACTTCAAACTGCTGGTTGCCATTGAAGTCTATTATATGGAGAAAAATCCTGGAATGTTTTCCTCAAAAACCTGAAGAAAAAGACGTGAACATCTTGGATGACATGGGGGTGAGTAAATTATCAGGAAATTTTTATTTGAAATTCAACAATGGCACCTATCTTGTTTACTATGATAACATTTAGTATAAGCTCTGAAAATATTAGTCAATAGACATCTGATGAATTTTTCATGGAGAAAAGTCCCATACTGCCATTCCAGGCACCTTAAAAATTACATTGCTGAATAATTGTAAGACGCATTTTACCTAACCTTTGTAGCCTTGCAAACTGCAGCTTTACTCCCCTTTTTGAAAGTGAGAATGAAATCTCCAAATAAAGCTGATGAGTTCTGATGAGGTCTGACAAAAGCAAAGCAGAGCACCCACTGGAACGGCCCTGGAGCATGGGGTCATTCTTTATCCCCCTCTGGGGCAGCTCGTTCACACCATCACACCTGTCTGTCAAAAGACTTACAAGCCTCAGCAATGGGAACAAGAGAAGAGAGAATGTTTAGCTATGCAATGTACAAGTAGAGAGAAATTAAAGAAAAGAACTGCTGACAACAGGCAGAAATTAGGTTAGGTTTAACCTCATGTTCTGCTTTGACTTCATGACCAACATGATTTTAAGACTGAACTAAAACCTCCAAGGAACCAAAGCAATTTTCTTCACACAACTGGCAAATTAATTTGCTTAAATCACATTATTTTTCGCTCTCTCCCTCTCTTAATAAAAGAAAAGAAGAAAAACGAGTGTAACCTGCTGACTAAAACGTAGACATATGGACTATCCAAAACAAGGGATAGCCTACATTTGCGTTAGAAACCATAACACGCCATAAATAAATTAGTTAATTAATTAATTATGACAAACACATTCCGAAAGTTACTTATACCGTTTCAAAGACAGCCCGTAACGTTAATTATGACAATAATTATGATTTTGGCGGAATGGCCAAACGTTACTGGGGTAAATATTTGAGAAATTAGTTCTCTAAATACTTTTTACATGCTTAATATGAAATATGTCTCATCAAATTGATGTATAAACAAAAATAAGGCAGGATTTGCGTTAATCATGAACCAACAGTTCTCTCAAATTCACAACACGTCACGCGTAAGGCCTAACAGTTCACGCCGCCACAGCTGTGACGATTAGCCGATTATTCAACAAGTTTATGTGAAATTATGCATTTGAAAACTTTAAAGCAATCCGTACGCCAGATGTACCTACCTTGGACGCGTAAGGTGTTCAGGGTGGGCTAAAATGGATATCATTTGAATTGTCGTTTAACTGCTTGATGACTGTTGATTTGTTAATTTACAGCGGCACCTTGTGTTAAATAGAGGTAAAGCACTTAAGGGCGTCGAAGGGAATGCTTCATTTTGAATATATATATATTAAAACATATTCTGGAAAAAAAAGCATTTCACCTTCCTGATAGTAGGCTTATTTATAAGTAAATAATAATAATAAGCATCATAATTTTAACTATAAGGAAAAAGCAGTGTTTATTTACAATACAACCCAAAAACAGAACAGGCCAGAGAATGTGTATTATTGCATGTTATTGTCAAGTTCATTTCCATACTGGAGAGACATGAAAATAAATATACAGAGATTAACAACAGGTTTGAGACTCATCTTAAAACTTCTTCTCTTCGTTCAAAATAGTAAAGTTGCTTTTAAACTAAGTTCACCCAATTATAAAAAATCTGTCATCATTTACTCAATTACACAATTGGAGATATCTACTAGAATGTTCAAGCAGTTCTGTTGCTTACAAAACAATGAAAATGGTTGTTGACCAGGGACAGCTGCTCAAAAACAGCATTTAACATTCAGGTATCACAGGTAAATAGCATAGACAGTAAAAGAAAGACAAATAGGAGTTTGGAATGGCATGAGGGTGAGTAAATGATGGCAGGAGTTTCATGTTTGTGTAAACTAGCCTATACCTTTAATAGAGTTTGTTTAGATTAATTCGGCCTAATTAATCAAAGGCTTTCAGATTTATTGAATTCCTAGAAAGGCTGAAACAATAAATACATTTGCTTTATGCAGACTCGAAATGTGACAATATCTGTGTATGTGAAGTTCTGTGTGTTAGTGTTTTATATGCTCAACCTTATATGCATTGCAATAACAGTCCCATGGCAGAACACATGCTGACATTTCAACAATCACAGATTATACAGAGTTCCGTCAAGTTCCATAATGGCAATTGACTTTAATAGCCAGGTTTGTTCGTCTCTAGGGTAACATTAGTTTGACAGTAGATGCCAGACGAATACCAGAAAGCCCAAAAAGAAGCTGAAGCCTGTGCTGTTTCTGGTGGCGTGTCCTGCCACATTGCAGTCATCGGAGTAGCAGCAGTGAACTTTGACCCCTGGAGCTCTGTAGCCCTGGCTGTTAGCCTGGCTGCAGAAGGATTTGTATGAGCACGACTTCATTACGCCACCTAACAAAGACAAGACCGGTATGAGAGCGTGATTACATATTAATGTGCTTTGACCTCCTGCTATTTCTAAGCTTGTGCCCAGACAGAGCAGTCTGTCTTCCTTAAACACCACCCTGATCCAGTCCCTCCCCTTTAAACACACACACACACACACACACAGTCGTTAATGGTTTTTCTAAAGATTTATCCCGCTGTGATTCATCACCAACATCCAAGAAAAAAAAAAAAATGTTCTCGCCCAGTTTCCTCTCATCTATCCATGCAGGAAGATTAACTATTAACGATGTACCCAATAAACTTACTCCCATGTCCCCGAACAACAGCACATGCATCTGAGTAGCTCGGACACATTTTGGAGCCCTGGCGATTACAGTCTTCATCTGTGGAGCCCATGCAGGTGTAGCACCTCAGCGCCTCACCTAAAGAAAGACAAAGGGGAGGAATGCAGCTCAATATGAATGTTCCTTAACAAAAAAAAAGGCCTAAAGTGTAAGTGCTGATATATACATTTGTATTATTTTTCGTAATCAGTATTTTTGTCTTATTTTCCAGTAAAACTTAAATAGCATTTTTCACTTGAAAATAAAATGTTATTATTATTATTTCATGTTAGATAAGAAAAACATTACAGAGGTCCTGTACGCTTTGCTATACAGATCAAAATGTGACCTTCATTAAAAACGTATTCGCACCACCATGTTAAAATATTATTATTATTAACAAATAATTTATTTAGATTTTGTATTGCTCATTTTATTTAATTATTATTATTATTCAAGAAACATTCTCTGAAGCAAGTCTTAATATTTTATGCAATTTGACCACATATACACATATGAAGAGTTCAGATGCAAAAGCCTCTAAATGCCATTTGAAATTTTCCTCTTTAATGATGATTTTTATCAATCTTGTATATTTAAGTTCAGCAATTTCACTTAAATAACAATTAATAGGTAATTATCATTGCCATTTAAGTGAAATTACTGAACATAAATATACAAGTTTGATAAAAATCATCATTAAAGAAGAAAATTTCAAATGGCATTTAGAGGCTTTTGCATCTGAACTCTTCATATATAAAAATGATTAGATACCTCCACACAGTTTTTTTTCCTTTGTAACACTATTTTTCTATTTCTTTTTCGACACTTTAATGATGTTGAAAGTCATGTCAAAATTGTCCACATTTGAACTATGGCTTAGTGCAATGCATGCATTTACACGAATGCCTATATAGGCCACGACTCCAACAATCAATTTCAATCTCCCAGGTGCCATTATAAATTGCATTTGACTAAACAAAGCTTCATATATTTTATGACATTTTTATTTTTATTGAGAAGGGAAAATTACACTACTTTAAAATTACATACACAGATCTCAATTTCCACCATGAAGCAGCTATGGCATCAACATGAGATCAATAAAAAGAGATAAAAAACATTTTCTAAAATCCCTGCTCTATGAAGTCTATAAACAGAACATTGCCATTTCATCCAAGACAGAACTTTGCTTTTGCAAACCCAAGGGAAGTCAACTGAAGTCACAGCAGAGAAACATGTCAGTGTTTTTAACTGTCTTGTAAATGCCCAACAGTATATGTTATGGCTAAGCCTTTTTCGTGTGCTTCTTTCTTATCTCCTAAAGTGCTTTTTTTTAACAAACATTCTTTGAAGTTCAAACCGACAACATCAGACACGTAAGCTCTATGCCAGAATGACTGTAACACCTTCAAAAACAGACATTGCTTTTAAAATCTGGTATGTGTGTTTTAGCACTGCTAGTTCACCCTGAAGACATCCTTCTTCACTCTCTTTGATAGCAAAACCTTCAGTTCACAGGATGGACTCAAACTTATTTACTGGCAGGTTATTCGGGCTGTTCGGAATGAACTTTTAAAGTGATGTAAATGTAAAAAAACACCCTGTTGAATCCTGTACCTAGTCACTAAAGGTATTTTTTCGTTGTCCTTCAAAAAGTATACGCACACACAAATGAACATTTGAGATAAATCACTGGTTTGGAACTAATGCTGTTGTCTCCTTTATTTGCCTACACCGAAAACCTTCCAATAGAGGTTAAGAATATAGTTCGTACATATCATCTGCACACAAAATCCATAATAAGAAAGAACAAGCATGCTGTATGTCTTCACCTCAGCTTTCACTTGTCAAATATTTCCACAATTTCATATTATAGCACAGCTGTCATTTCTCAAATATACCGGGAAAGTTTTGGACAACAATAAAATCATTTTATTTTTTGGGAGAGAATTTTTTTATAAAATGTCTAATTGTACAGTATCCGAGGCAAATTACCTCCATACATTTAATATTATAGCTTCAATGTGTAATTTCAGTTTCCAAAAATACAGCCAAAAGCAGCTTTTATACTCAATTAACACTTAGGTCTCAACATTTCGCGGCAGAAACATGCAAAGTTTCACCGAATAATTGTGTTTTCCACCATTACTACTGAAAGCATTGCTGTTTTGGACAGTTCTAAATGCTAAAGTGATTTATTCACTCTTTTTTGGTCGAAGTAAAATTACGCCACCAGACTTACAAACTCTTTTTATAGCCCTCAATCTGTTTAAGTAATTGATTTGCATCAATTATTTTCTGTTAGTCCTTTAACACCGTCCTCAAGGCAAACAAGATATTCGCAGGCATAAGGACACTTCAAAAGGAGGAAATTGGATAATAATTAAAAATGATAAAACCGACAGAGAAGTATAGAGTAAAAAGCTAATTAGGATTTGTGAGTGTGGTACACATATAGTAACTGAGAAGACACAAGCATAAAACTCTTAAAAAGTAGAAAAGGTAAGAACAGAGAAGTACTCACTGTGAGCAGCGAGGAGGATGAGGCCGAGGCCCAGCAGCAGGGAGAAGTGGACCGCTCTCATGTCGCTGGTGGTCTATGGCTGTCAGGTTAGCACGATGAAAAGCAGGTTGTTTGCTCTTAAAACCCTTGAGCTTAAGCCCTGCTTTTGGTGAGCTAATACTCAACAGCAATGAGGACACAGATTATCAGCCTTGTCCACTGAGGCCTGTGCTTCTGTCTTAAGATCTGAATGGATTCTCACCATCTTGACTAATCAGAGATGAGGGATCGGTGACTGTGCTCCACCCATACAGTATGGGTGTGATACTCCCTCCAGATTTGATTCAGCTAATGCCTCCATGCACGGTGAGTTTATCAGTGACCAGACTCCCTTTGTGACATAGCAGACAGTGATCGCAGCCAATCAAACAGTTGATACAAAGCCTATTTGAATACATGCATGTGATAAGGGTAACCAAAATCAAACCTATACACCAAATGAATGAGTAGATCAGCTTATAATTATATAACCTTCTATTTTTATAACTTCTATTTTTCTTAGTTGTTCTTCCTACAACTACTTCCTGTTTTGTATTACTTATTTTATCACTGTAAAAAATATATTGTTGGCGTAACTTTAAAAAAATAAATTACAAAATTGAGTTCACTGAAATACAAAATTTGAGTTAATACAAGGAAGGATATTGGTTTAATCAACAGAAACACAAAAATATTGTTACCTGAACCACATTACAAAATTTTATGTAAAAAAAGATAAATCAATAGAGTTCAGATGCAAAAGCCTCTAAGTGCCATTTGAAATTTTCTTCTAGAATGATCATTTTTATCAAGCTAATATATTCAAGTTCATTAATTTCACTTAAATGGGGATGAAGATTACCTATGAATTGTCATTTAAGTGAAATTACTGAACTTAAATATACAAGCTTGATAAAAATGATCATTCTAGAACAAAATTTCAAATGGCACTTAGAGGCTTTTGCATCTGAACTCTTTATATATATATATATATATATATATATATATACACAACATCACCCATACCATTAAGCATCGGAAATTATAGCAAAAAAAAAAATAATTGTTTCTGTTTATTCTTTCTTCTTCCTTGATTTTTCATAAATTCTACTTTTTTTCCTCACTCACAGACAGTTTGGTTCTGTGCCAGCATGTAATTGCCACTAATATAGCCTGTCTGGTGTGATTTTAAGACCCATCTGCCAGCTAACTAATGCATCTTTTTATGCACCTACATAGGTTCATGTCAGCAAGATTTATTGTTTGTTAATTAACAACATTATTGCTTTCTTAAAATGCCCTAGTGGGAGGCTAAAAACGTCTGCTAGATGAATAAATGTAAATGTAATTATTATTGCATCAAACATCATGCCTTTACATTTTGTATAATTACTTTATGTCTATGCAATTTGGGTCAGATAAAGAGAAGAGCTGTATTGCCATCTTTTATTGCACTTAGTAAGCATGTCCTGTATAAATGACAGAGCTTCTGCATTGTGAAACATCAGCTATAGCAGGACTGAGACAAAACCATTCAGATTAAATTAGCTCAGAACCACTGACCGTAACAAGTGGGTTCTTTTATATATCAAAATAAAATCCAAAAATAAAATCAAACATCAGTGTTGCTAAAAGACAACGAAACAAATGAACAACAAGTATCTACAAAGATACACAAGGAAGCAGATCAAGCTAACAGTATCAAAATCTGCAGTCGTTTTCCTTTACTCTATTCAAGTCATTTTCATATTTACAAAACCGTCAAGGCCTACAACATGCATTTTATAATCATGATCATGAATACCACTTTGTGACAACTGAATGATTAATTCATCCGTTTTATATTATATATATATATATATATATATTCTCTCTTGTCATTTCTGCTTTCAAGTTAAGAAAAGGGTACAACAGCAATCAGTTTAACAGTCGACTCGATCAGCGGTTGTCATGGCATCGACACTCATAACTTCAGACTCACTTTAACACATACTCACTGTCTGTGTGTGTGATACAGACTCTCAAAAAAGTCTCTACTAATAGGGAGTACTTTCACAAGACCCTCAACACAGGTAAGTTGGTGTACATTAATACATCAAAATGAAGAGAAAATAATTACAGCCAGAATCTAGTGTGTCCTCCCAGTCGTAGGGACTCCAGTTTATGTGAAGACGTCAGTAGTGTGAGATTCTTTTGTTGAATTGGTTCATTGTTCTGTCCATAAGAAAGAGGAAAAACAATAACGAACCCTTTAGTCTTGCTCCTCTGTCTTTACTCTGTTGTCCAGTCATTGTTCTTGTGTCTCCTTGTGGTTTGGACAGAACTCTGTGGATTGGACGGCTAGCTCTTCCCCATCTTGGCAATCAATTCATCACAAATTTTGGTCAGTTCCTCGATCTCTTTGTTCTGTAAAAAGATAAAACATCACGTCAACATCTGAATGTTGGTTAAAAAAAAAGAAGTCTCTTATTTCAACACGGCTGCATTTATTTGAAAAGAAAATGCAATCATATTGTGAAATAGTATTACAACTTTAAACAACTGATTTCTATTTTAAAATATGGTAACACTTTACAATAAGGTTCATTAGTTAACATTAGTTAATGTATTAACTAACATGAACTAACAATGATCAATACATACTGTATTAGTTAATCTTTGTTAAAGTTAGTTAATAAAAAATACAGCTGTTCGTCGTTTGTTCATGTTAATTCACAGTGCATTAACTAATGTTAACAAATACAACCTTTGATTTTAATAATGTATAAGTAAATGTTGGAATTAATATTAACTAATATTATTCATTCTTAGTTCATGTTAACTAAGGTAGTTAACTAAAGTTAACTAATTAACCTTATTGTAAAGTGTTACCTAAAATATATTTTATTCCTGTGATGGCAAAGCTGAATTTCCAGAATCATTACTCCAGTCTTCAGTCACATGATCCTTCAGAAATCACTGTAATATGCTGATTTTGCGGCAGTGTGTATATACATATACTGTAAGGTCATTTTTAGGCTTGCAAGGTATGACTTCAGCAGATAGGCATGTGGATTTGCGAGTGTGAGCAAACCTTTTGTTCCAGTGTGCGCTCCAGTGAGTCCACCTTCATCTGTTCTTTCCTCAGACTGGCCTGATGCGCTGCCTGCTCCTGCTTGGCTTTGGCTCTCACCTGAGAGATGTCAGCGTTCGCCCTGCGGGTGGCACACGGTCAAAGACATGCCGTCATCTCATATTTCGAAGGACTCTTAAAGAACACTGAGTGCTATGGATTTAAGTCTAACCCATAATTTGCCTAACAGTTGTTGTTCAAGGCAACAGAATTCCTGAGCAAAGCAAAGCATGGATGGACTACCTGCGAAAGGTCTGTACTTACTTATCCAGTTTCTCCTCAGCGTGGATCTTCAAGGCCTGGTAGCGCTGCTCCTCCTTACGGACACGAGACAGGTATTCCTGCGCACATTTCTTCAGCACTTCCTCATTCTGATGGAAAAACAAAGAATTGTAGTGAGTAAATTACTGATAATAATGATTTATAATGTTAAAGCTACACTGTGTGATTTTTACCCCCATCTAGTGGTGAAAAGGTATATGACCATCCAGGTGAATATTAGTTTCTGTTCCTCTCAATTCCGATTTCGTTTTAACTCCTACGGTGGCCAATATAGTCCAAGATTAACATGGCTTCTAGTTCGACCTCGTCCATGAGTGTTAACTCAAAAGGCGAAGCTTGAATTAACGGGTATGTCCCTCTTTGGCTAATGAACTTTCAAGATGGAGGGGCAACATGGCGACCGACATTAGAACCCCTTACCCGTATGTATTTTCAATGGCATATTATACACTCACGAGATTACTTTATTACTTGAACGAAGTAAATATACATTAATGAGCACATATATTTTTGAAAGAACTAAGTGTTTTTAGCTAAGAATAAACTAAAAGAGTTACACAAGAGTTACAGTTAATTGTTTTAGATGGCTCCATTTTTGGTAATGTAATGACCACAATCTATTATAAAATCAAGTCCCGACCTACATTTTTCTCACTGAATATTCTGTTTTGCTCGGAAATACATCACAATAGAGAACTGCAAATAGAAACGCACATGTCTTTAACCTTTAACAATCTCAGTGCAAAATGACTTACTTTGCGGAAGCCTTCCAAAACATCTTTCATCTTCTCGTAACGCCGGAACAAGTCAGCAAGAGATTTCTCCACAGAGTTGAGATCAGCTAAAGCCTGGTCTTTCTCCAGGATCAACTGTTGGATAGTGTGATGAGACAAAGTCTTCTCCCTCTGTTCACCCTCTGAGTCATACACACAAACACAAAAAAATCCATTATACGTTTATATTATACGATACACTCAAACAGATGTGCAAATCTGCTTTTGGATGAGGGAGAGGTTCATTTTACGTTCCTCAGAGTATTTTAGATGTGATGTTATACTCTACACCACTATGTTTACATCTTTGATCATGACAAATGAAAAATGCAGATTTCGACTCTGCCTCTTTGTGATGCATGCAGACAACACACACGCACACACACAAACGCACACACTCAATGATGGGCATACCACTGAAACACGGTGAGAGATGAGAAGACCTTTCAAAGTCTGTCTTAGCACAGGACTACTGAATGATTCATTTTAATGAACTGGTTTAAAAAAAACTGATTCACTGTTTAAAGGGATAGTTCACCCAAAAATGAACATTTTGTCATCAGTTACTCACCCAAGTTGTTCCAATCCTGTTTGAGTTACTTTCTTATGTTGAACACAAAATACTATATTTTAAAGAATGTTTGCAATCTTCTTTTGTGTTCAACAGAAGAAAGAAACTCAATGTTTGGAACAACATGGTAGTAAGTAAAGTTTTTTCTAAAAGAAATGAATCCTGTACCTTTATTCAGCAAGGAAAAATAAATTGATCAAATACAAAAGATTAAAAAAAAATCTATTTAAAATAAATGCTTTTCTTTTGAACTTTCTACAAAAAAGAAAAAAAGATTAAGCAACTGTTTTCAACTGTGACGATAAAAATAAGATGTTTTTTTTTTTTCTAAACGTTTGCTTGATTGTACTTAGGCTACTTTATAGTATGTAAATGTACTTTAGAAAAGTACAGTATCAAAGTAGCTTCCCCAACACTGGCGATGGAATACTGTATGTTTGAGAATAGGCCTACAAAAAAGACTTGAAGAGCAAAAACAGATGATGCTAAAAGAAGTGACACCATATCAGGTTATAGAAAGAGAAAACTCTCCTTGTCCATTGCTATCAGATGTGGTGGATTCAACACAAACAAAGAAAATCAAGAGTTGCTGTTACTTACCAGGCATGCCTGAGTGATTTATCAAATATTTATGGGGGACAGAGGGAGCAAAACAGAAAGAAGGGACGGCATTAAGTCAAGCCAGCAGGGTGGGACACGTGAGCGAGAGAAAAGCGCGTCTCAAACATGGGTGGATTTTGAAATTAATTAAAGTGTCATGGAAGAAAGGTGATGAAAGCCAGAAAAGTGGCCAAGAAAACTGAACCAAGGAAAAATAAATTATTCAGAAGGTACACAATAGAAAATAGTGGAAATAAAATCAAGTGGAATATTAAGGATGGTATTATATGACGAAGAATGAAAAAAAGGTAATGAAAATATTTTTTTCTTTGTGCAAAGAGAGAAAAGCATGTCAAGGTTAAACCAAGATCACAATCTGAATATGTAAGAATGCACACAGCCTATAGTATTTACATGGACGTAAATACTGAAGAGGAAAAGAAATTGGATTAATTTGTCAGTGAGTGGGTGAGGACCGTTTAAGCTGAAGCAAGTTTAAGTTTTCGGAGTCAAGTGGAATAAACAGGGAAACATGAAGGTTTGTGCTTATAACTGACCAGTTTTGGGGTCCGTAGGTACGAAAGATTTGTCTGCAAATTAAATGAGAAATTAACAAAAATTGTGTTGGATATGTGTGTGTTGGTGTGGCATGACTGGGAAAGGGCTGAGGCTGTTCATTTATAGCATTGTAGCACAAGAAAAGCACAGATAAACAGGACCGAAAAAGATCAATTAGAAATCCCCAGGAGAAGATGAAATCGTATTTAGCAATCAAGACTCACCGATCATCTCTGCAATGGTCTTTTCATACTCCATAACTATCCTCCTGTGAAGAATAAGCAAAAATCTAGTTAATATTCAAATAAGATGAATTTATACTGCAAGATCTGATCAGATCCTTTTAAGAATATTGTTTCCCATAAAAAGCTCTAAATAAATATATATATACACACACACACACACACACATATATATATATATATATATATATATATATAACACTTATTTAACACTTCTATGCAGCAAGGAAGCATTAAATTGGACAAAAGTGACAGTAAAGACTTTACTTCAAATAAATAGAAAAAAAAATTACTTCAAATAAATACTATTCTTTCAAACAAAAATGTCTCATGGTTTGCATAAACATATTAAGCAGCAACTGTTTTCAACATTGGTAAGAATAATAAATGTATCTTAATTCACCAAATCAGCATATCCGAATGATTTCTGAAAGATCATGTGACACTAAAGACTGCAGCAATGATGCTGAAAATTCAGCTTTGCCATCATAGGAATACATTAGATTTTAAAATGTAATAAAATAGAAAGCAGTTATTTCAAATTGTAATAATGGTACACAATATTACAGTTTTTATTGTATTTTTGATCAAATAAATACAACCTGTTACCATAAGAGACTTCTTTCAAATAAATGTAAAAAACATTCAACCCCAATTTTTAATCTGTATAGCGTAGTCCAGAAACCATGTCCTAGAGGCCAATTAACCCGGGATCTGTTTCAGATGATCCAATCACAAGTGGCTAGCATTAAATACAAGTGTAAGCAGGATCCAAAATGTTTTGTGATCTGATCACTGAAACTACATACAGAGGTAGAAAAATGGGTTGGGCTTCATCATACAGGTACTTTCGCTAAAAGAACTCAAAATGTATAGAAGGAAACTTTCTTTCTGTTTCTTTCTGTTCTCTTTGTGATTTACCAACATGCAGTAACACACTGACGTAGTGAGTGACATGCATTCGCGAAGTCAGAGAACCTCCCCTCGAACTCCTATCACAAGTGGTCAGTTTGAAGCACATTACAACCAGATCTATCTTGGCTGACCACTTCTGATCGGATCACCCCAGACGGATGTTAATACCAGATGTAAACAGGATTTAGAACTGCATTTGAAAGTGTCCCAAATTGGATGTCAAACAATCCTGGTTTAGTGATTTTTTTCTGCTTGCACGTATGCCGAAGGATTCGTTCTTTCTCAGATGTCAGTAAAAACATACATAAATGTAAATGCAACTTAACAGCACTGACAACAATACATGCTGAGGTGACAATGACTTTAGATACTTCTAAACAAAGTTGATTACATGAAAGGTCAGGAAATTGGCTTTTGTTATGTCATGCGTTTGACTACTAGAATACGGCTGACAGAAAGACTTGGAGAAAAGCAGGTTGCCGGCACAGTAAGTAGATGGATTAGCTACGTCTTTCCTTAGCCTCTTAGGCCTTCCTTATCCTGAGCCCAATCAGGCTAATGCACTAAGCTCCATTCTTATCCACACTAACAAGGCCCAGTCCAGCTGGCTGGAATCCTCAACCCTCCCCGATTACCTTGTTCACTTTACCCCTTGAAAACAAAAGGACAGCTTTGTCCTGTTTTTTCAGCTGTCTTGTGAATTAGACAACACTGAATTTTCTTTAATAGTGAAGTAAGGTGATAAAAAGCTGTGAAAAATGATTATCAACTGATTTAACCTCTCTAAAGCAAAAACTAATACGAACCACCTTAAAATGGCAGTTACAAGGCAGATACATGTGTTTTGTAGATGGTTGAAAACAAAACTACATTATCTTTCATCTATTCCCCCTCTTCTCCTGCCCCCACATCTGACGCATTAAGGCCTTCTTTAATTGGCTTTCTACTTATGCTAGACTTAAAAAAACAACAGGAAAGAGATAAACAGATTGAGAGGTGGACTGAGGTTGATTCAGAGTCTTGCCAGGTTTAATGCATGGGGATTTTTAAAAATGATCTGAGGGGTGTCATATCAGCTATGGAACATTAGTAGTGAAAGGATGTTTTGGACACTTATTGATTGGAAGAGTATTGAGAGGACAGGAAGTGATGGGAGAAAGAAATGTTGCAAATGACGCAAGCTTCACTCGTCACAGTTCACAAGGGCACACGGATTTTTGTTCTGTGAGAACACCCACCTCATCTCCTCCACCTCCCGTCTACTCTCCTCATATTTTCTCTTCCATTCCATGGCTTCTTTCTCTTTCAAAACAACCTGAAATAAGAATAGCATGACTTCACACAAATGAGCCTTTCACAATTGAAATGGTTAAACCAGTGTCATTCTGATGTTTCAAACGAAAAATCTTCTTATATTAAATAATAATATTCGGCAAGTTCGGCAAGTTGAATGAAACCGATTTGAAAAAAAAAATCTGTGGAGAAGTAGCAACAGATCTTTTCGTCCTTGTTGAGAAGTACAGCCGAGTGTAATGGTTTAGCAGAGACTTGGTTCTATCCATCGTATTTAATGCTGACTTTAAATCTTCTGAAGTACAGAAAACAGACTCTCTAATCACTCCAGTTAATATACATGAACTTCCCTCAGACTCTGAAACTAAGCACAGCATTATGTGACTGTACAGAGCACATGAATATTCAATAACATGAGGTGCGCATTCAAACAGTTTATGATTTGTTTTCATCTTAGCACAACACTTTAACGATTCAGATTTTTTATACAACAATGTGAAATGAAAACACTAAGATTTTCCTAACACAATAGTCTATTGTGAAGTGGCGTCATGCAATGGGCGAGCAAATACCTCTTCTCGGGCGATGACCAGAGAGTGGTCCAGGTCATGTGGCAGATGAGGGCTTTCCCCTTCAATGTATGATGCTCGGGAATAGAGGGAGCTCTTCGAAACGCCACTGTCCCCCGGTGAGGCCATTTCTCTCTGATGCCAAGGAGAGAGTTGGAAAGAAACCGTTAAAAACCTGAGTGTATATTTCTGTACAAGAATGTTAATTTCACACATCCTAGAGGGAAGCAGCGCATCAGCTACAGGTTCTACTCAGCAAAGCCATAATGTCATGGAGAGCAGGCTCTTTGTTTGGATTTCAAAAGCCTCCAGCAGTTTGCGAAAGGCCTGTTGCATTCAGCTGGGATTGACAATCCCCAATGTGAGATGGGTGTGGAAAGCTGTTTGTCATGAAAAGATAGCGGCTTTGACCAAATCCGGGTCAGGAAGTGAATGCTGTCAGATGAGGACTGCAGGAATACAGGTTTTTTGGTAATTGGAAATAAAAGTTGATGATCCATTTTTGAATCAAAGGCTCAGTACTAGGACCGCTGCTGTTCACTCTACCATTAGGAGATGTCATTAGGAAACATGGAATTAACTTTCACTGTTATGCCAATGATACTCAGCTGTATATTTCTTCAAAACCTAACGAAACTTTCCAATTCACAAAATTAACAGAATGCATAGCTGATATAAAACATTGGATGACTAGTAATTTCCTACAACTAAATTCAGAAAAAACAGAGATTCTAATTATTGGACAAAAAACTTACACACGTAATAACCTAGAATACTGTCTAACACTTGATGGCTGCTCTGTTCAGTCTTCGTCGTCGATTAGGAACCTGGGTGTGCTCTTTGATACCAATCTTTTGTTTGAAAATCACGTGTCTAGAATCTGTAAAACCGCATTTTTCTCAATTACACCATTTGCTCTTATTGACAAATGCGAAACAATTAGTTCATGCGTTCATGACATCAAGACTAGATTATTGTAATGCTATTATGGGTGGTTGCCCTGCACGCTTAATAAACAAACTACAGCTGGTTCAAAACGCAGCAGCTCAAATTCTTACCAGAACCAGGAAATATGACCATATTAGCCTGGTTCTGTCAACATTGCATTGGCTGCATATTAAACACTGTATAAATTTTAAAATATTGCTGATTACGTACAAAGCACTAAATGGTTTAGCTCCCCAGTACTTGAGCGAGCCTTTAACGCATTATAGTCTTTCACGCCTATTGCGATCTTGAAATTGTGGCCAGTTGATAATACCTAGAATATCAAAATCGGCTGCAGGCGGTAGATCCTTTTCCTATTTAGCACCAAAACTCTGGAACAATCTTCCTAACATTGTCCGGGAAGCAGACACGCTCTGTCAGTTCAAATCTAGACTAAAAACACATCTCTTTGGCCTAGCATACACATAACACACTATAGCACAATATAGACTTCATTAATTCAAAATTAGGCTGTATAGTTTAGATCAGCCGGAACCAGGAACACGCCGCGTAAATCCTGATGTACTTGGCACATCATAAGAAGGATGGCATCTACGTTAATGTAAGTCTCTCTGTTTATCCCGAGGGACCCTCTTTGGTGGACCTGTGCCTGGACCCATCCCAACTCATCCTTAAGTGCCAGCCTCATCAGCACTGTGAAGGCCTCATCGACACAACAGCCATCGGCACTGACCCTCAACAACTCGTCTCCATACCGGAGTGATTACTTCGACTTCCAAACAGATGGAAATGGATAAATACGGTAAATGTTCCGATCCAATCAGACTTGTAATGCTGCCAGAATCATACACCGTTCGTTCGTTGGCAGCCATTAAGCTCAAAAATCTGTATTGGACAATTAATGGTAATTAAATGTACCATTTTAGATGGTAATTGTATCCTCTTTATAGCCAGTGATGGGGTGTTGTTACTGAATAATCATCATGTTTAGCCCTTAAACCCACTTGCTGATTAAAGCTGATTAATTCTTCCTAGCAGAGCTGGATTAGGAGATTAATTGAGTTTGACTCTTATACGAGGTAGGGGGCCGTGTGTTAGGGTACAAATACAGAATGCCCATCACATAATGTTTGGTCTGAAAGAAGCATTTATGTCTAATACCATTTATTGAGAATTATTGGGCTGCACTCAGATCATGGAGGGGGGCATACGGTACAACACACAAATTGAGATTACAAACCTGAAACGAAATTTTGAAATGATACTCTATTAAAATCAAAGTTGGAGTATTGATCTTGTGGTCTTGGTTCTCTTACGACTACATAAATTAAACATGGTCTGGAGGGGCCTAGTTTTGGCATTGACTCCAACTCATCGATTTTCCCAATAATCAAATTCTGGACTACATAATCTAATCTTGCAACTCCTTGAATGTGTGATCCAGCCCAAGAGAAAAGCATGTTGGTCAGAACCAATCATAAACACAGCAGAGGGTGAGAAATGAGGCAGAGGAATAACTCTAAATGTAAATCAGGAACAAAATCATTCTAATTGAATATTGACAAGACAGAGTTCAGTAGAGCAGTGGGGTTGTGATGTAATCCTGTCATCTTCAGAGCAGCTGTACATGTATTTACATGAATGATAAATTATCACTAACGACAAGAAAAGGTAGTAAAAAAAAGAACGTCATGGAAAATGTGCTGAGGCAGCATGTGAAATGTGTCTGTGGGACTATTTCAGGAAGAGCGTTATCTAAAAATGTATGTTAAAATACTGAATATTTTAAGAAGATCATCAATTCAGGCTAGCCATCACTAAACCTCATTACTCCATAATTCAGCTATGTAATATAGTGTCACTCTTTTTATATATGAAAGTACTCCATAATCCTCAAATGTATCAGTACTATGCCAAAAATACTTTTGATGCATTAAAGCTCAATTCTATTTTGGAAATGAAGTCCAGAGGTTATTCAGGGGCAGAAACTATACCTGTGGAATGCGGGACGTCCTGTGACAGAGTTTGCTATCTGTCTGTGTGGATTTTCCTGCAGCTTTCTACAAAAATAACCACACTAGGTTTGACAGAGTGAGACAAAACCAACTATTATTTAGAAAAAAGCTGAGGTCTATACAATGTTATATGGATCCGGGAGAGTCATTTTAAATGTGTGTGGAAAATGAGTTAGAGTTGATGTGTTTTTATTATGTAGGTGACTTTAAAATTCTAATTTGAGGTTAGATTTTGCTGTTCCTTGTTTTAAAAAAATAACTCTGAAATGAGAGAAGCAGGGTTTTTTATGTTTAATTTTATATTTAATGTTTTAAAATGAAGTCTTACGCTCAACAAGACTGCACCCATTTGATTAAAATACAGTAAAACGGTAATATTATGAAATGTGATTACAATTTAAAAGAACCGTTGTCTAATTGAACCGTTGTTTAATATATTTTAAAATGTCATTTATTCCTTTGATGGCAAAGCTGAATTTTCAGCAGGTATTCAGTGTCACATGATCCTTCAGAAATCTTTTTCAGAAATGTGCTGCTTACATTTCTTATTATTATAAATGTTGAAAATATTAAGTGTTGCTTAATATATTTGTGGAAAACTATTTTTTTCAGGATTCTTTGATAAGCAGAAATTTCAAAAGCACCAAATTTATTTTACAAATATAAATAATTTTAACAATGTAAAAGTTTTACTGTCACATTTAATCAATTCAATGCATAGTTGCTGAAAAAAAGTAGTGTATATTGCAGAAAAAATCTAAACACTTAAAATTGGTTTTAAGAATGTTTAGATTAAACAACAAAAATACTGACCAAGAAAATGATTTTTGTAGTTAACAGAGGACAGGAGAAGGATGAGATGCTTTCTGTCTGTAGATCTATTTTTCTGACTAATGGTGGTTTAGTCTAATGGTGGTACAGGGACAATGGGATTAGAATATACGAACTAGACCTAGTTAGACTTTTAGAGGGATTGTTTTCTGTCCTTCTTACTTTAGCCATGTGGGAACCGTTGAGATTCCAGCGGCGTGGGCTGGGCTTCTTGAGGCGAGACTGTGAAGCGTGCAAGACAACATCATGAGAATGGAGCGGGAAGAATATAAGGCGTCGTGTTATGGGGTTGTATGTAGTATGTACTGTATGTGTGCATGTTTGTGTATACCAGATTAGTCTGTTCGTTCCATTTCCTGTACAAATGCCAAGACTGTGGTGACAGTCGCTCATCCAATATGACTGAAAGCAGATCTGAGCTAAGCTTTATGTGAAGCCACGCCAGCGGCCTCAGACCAGGCATACAGGTGATCCGTATGCCCACTGTATTCCAATGAGTTAGTGTAAATTAGTAACAAATCGAAACCAGGAACCAGCATGAATGTGACAAGGAATTCAGAATACAATGTTTTGCTTAGGAAAAGCATATGAAATCTACAAATCATTCATATTTGAAGTAATAATACATAGCTTAAATACAGCATTAATTTCCAAGTCACATTGACCTTTGTTTCTATGGATCTCCTGTCCAGGCGAACATGCGGGATTGTCACAAAGCCCTGGGAGAAACACACCTCTTTTTGTTCAAAAGGGTGCTGGATTGGGAAAAAGAAGCACCAATCGGGGGACAGGAGCTGGGTTAGAGAAACGGGGGGTTGGATGAGATGTCACGTCCACAGTATGGTGAGGTAGTTCATGGGTAGGTACTCACAATCATACCCAAGGGTGCAGTCAGGGGGCTCAGTTCAGGGAGTACATTGCACACACACACACACACGTGCGCGCTCACACACACAGGTGCGGGCTGGTTCAGCGCAATACCTGAGGGGACACAGTGGACAAAGTAGGGCTCTGTGAGATGCTTTTGGCTACCTGTAGAGCCTCTATCCTCAGGGCTGCGAGCACCAGCTCCTCCTGGGCCACAAGGGAGGGTGGGGGGAGTGACCCATGGAGTGGGGGTAGGGGTAAGGAGGAGAAGAGGGGTTAGAGTTGTACTAGCCTCACTCAAATACTAAACCTGAAGGGGGAAAACATACATATACTGTACATACACACAGACACTCATACACATTTTACTATGAACGTTGTGAATGTGGTGAGATCCATCCATCCTTTCCAAGTTTATTTCAAGTGTGCAGTTTTAAAGGGATAGTTCACCCAAAATAAACACAAAAGCTATTTAGCAGATTGTCAAACTACTCTCCTCCATATAATCATAGTGAATGGGGACCAGAGGCTTCAAGCGGCATAAACAAAAACCATAATTACAACAAAACGGTGTTGATGTATCTGACGGTTGATATGATATAACATATTACTTTAAAAGACTTGAAGCTACCATTAAAATATTTGGTCAGTACGTTTTTTTTTTTTTTTTTTTTTGAATGCTCACCAAGGCAACGTTCATTTGACCGAAAAATACAGTAAAAACTGTAATATTGTGAAATATTAATACAATTTAAAATAAATCTTTTCTATTTTTATATATTTATAACTTAATTTGTTCCTATGATGGAAAAACTGAATAGTCAGCAGTCATTACTCTAGTATTCAGTGTCACATTTTCCTTCAGAAATGTAAATCATAATCTGATTTGGTATTCAACATACATTTCTTCTTCTTATATTATTACATGTTCTTTTTTTGATGAATGGAAAGTTTAAATTAAGCAATTATAAACTAGATTTTTTTTGTAATGATGTAAAAGTATTTACTGTCACATTTTATAAATGTAATACATCTTTGCTGAATAAAAGTAATATCTAAAATAAAAATCATACCTGCCCAAAGTTTTGAACAGTAGTGTACATTATGGTCCATTTTTATCATTTTGCAACTTAACAGCCCCAGTTTCCATTTACATAAGAAAGTAAGGCCCTGTTTACACTTGTTATTAAGATGCGTTTCGGATCACAAGTAGACGAGGGAGACACATACCCGTTTACACCTTGTGTTTCGTCTCTTTTGTCCACTTTCAACCACTTCTGTCTTGATTTCTTTGAAGGGAGGGTCTATGGGTGGGTTATGTTATCTTAAAGGGATATTTCACACAAAAAATAGTTCTGCTATTATCTGTTGGGAAAAATAAGCTCATGTAATTTACATATGAACACGCCCAGAGACGACAGAAAAACACACTAAGAGCAGCAGCTTTCATTCCTGCACTGAGAGCCACAAGACCACACCGAACGCCACGAGTGAGTGTTAGACATCAGGAATGGTGAAAGAACATTTTGTGCTTGGTACATTTTTCATCTTCAAACCAAACTTGGGTCTCCAGCCAAAAAATTTTAAATCGGCCTGGCAAATGCGCTTCCCACATTTACGCATTAGGTCAGCAAGCGGAGACCTGACGGTCTTTTGTGGCTAATCAAACATTCAACCACATGAGCGTTAACACTATGAAGGCAATCAAGTCGAATGCGACCTACCTCTGGAAGTGGTCAAAAGTGGACAAGCTCCAAAAAGCATCTTAATACCAGGTGTAAACAGGGCTTAAGTAAATTGTGGGCCACACTAATTTTCAGGTATACCACAATGACTGAATCACAGTCATGTGGTTTGGAACATGAGGATGAATAAACATGAATTTTTGGTTGAACTATTCCTTTAACAACTCCTGACCCCAGCTCTAGGGGCAGACAAGGTACATGAAAAACTGGAGGGACAAACAAACACAGTGAAACAAAGCTGAGTGAGGACACACACACTCACACATAGAAGCAAAGGCCCAGGGGAGAAGAGGTAGCGGGCACTGGTAGGCTTCTCTCTACACACCTGCAGTTTTTGAGCGAAGGCAGTGGGGTTGGTCTCTGCCAGATCAGGCTCCAGGTAGCTGAGAGGGGTGGGTGAATCAGACAGCCTGTCTAAGAGGGGCAGATCTGAGGGGTCCATGGGGCCCTGGATGGGGGACTGCATTGTGAGTGAGAGCAGAAGAGGGACAAGAGGAGTAGGAGGTGCCTGGGTGTCAGTGAGGCAGTGCAAGTTTGTATTTAGCCTATGAAGCCATATCTATGATGGGTTTAAATAAGCCTATGAATAAACAATCTGCAGTACTCATCCAGGGGGGAGATACTGATTAATATTAGCTACATGCTTAGCAAAATAATGTTATCTTAAAGGGATAGTTCATTATATCGTTCTAAATGGAAAACGAATGATTATAGAAAGAGGACAGTGTACATTCTTCACACAAATGTCTCCTCTTGTGTTCTACTGAAAAAATAACAACATTCGAGTTTGGAAACAAGGTTGAGTAAATAATGCAATAATTGGTTTATTTCTTTATAGGAGGCACATTCCCTTTAAGGCTGAAAAGTAACAAAATAAAAATAAACCCATCTTCACACATTTGTGGTGTAATTCATGCATTTTGATTGTAAGAAAACACATATGAACTAATGAAATAAACACACTCTTGAAGGTGCTTTCTATTTTCAGTGGTTTATTGGTTTACACTTACCACTCCATCTCTCTCGTTGCTCTGCGTTCGACTCTGAGACTGACTGTCCCTCTTTCTGCTTTTCTCTGAGGCCATGGGGTCACGAGCGCCACGAGGTGGCAGCACAGGTGATTTCCCCTGCGAGATCTGAGCCTCCATCTCCTCAAAGCTCCTGTAAAGTGCCAGACCAATACAATTAAACACCTGAAATACAGTCAAAGAAAACACGTTGTTCTCACCCCATGAGAATTGAGTTTTGTGGCTCTCAGTTTGTGGATGATGGCTCTGACTATGAAAGTACACTTGTAAAAACTGATAAACTTCACCCTTAGCAAAACAGAGATAAATATAAAAGGCTGTGACTTTTTGTCAAAAAAATGGTGCAGTTGTCATCTAACAGTAGATGGTGACTTCCTGTTAAAATATGTCAAGAAGAAAAGAAAAGAAAGAAAACTATGCCTATCAAGTCATTAATTTCATATTTAAGTCATATATGATTGGTTGTGTCTCCTGGTTATGGCAATGTCCAAAATCCTTTTTTAAGGAAATTTCAGGGGATAGAATATACACTTCATACTGTATAAAAATAATTATGTCAATAGAATGTCCCCATAAAATACGAAAACCCAAAGTGTGTGTGTCTGTGTGCGTTTAGTTTACCCGGTGCAGGGGGAGTTGGGCTCTGAATCGTGCATGTTGGAGGTCTTCTTTGGACTGTCTGTCACAGAGTCCAGTTTCAGATAAAGTGATGGTTTCTTCACTGAGAGAGGCTGTAAATAAATACATATATGCACTCACATAAATACAATGGTCTATAATCTAACATTAGTTTGGTGTTTGTCACATAAACTTTTTTTTTTTTTTTTTTTTGGCAACTGCCCGAAGTTTATCTAGAAGTCAGGTAAATACTCACAGGTGCAGAGGAGCCAATCTTTTCCATGTATTCAATCTCATAGTCTGTAACTGCAGAGAAGAGAAAATGAGTGATATATAACAGGTTCAATGTTTTATAAAAGTTATATTAGGAATTGAAAATAATATAAGGCTTCCAAAGAATATCATCAGTTGACAGACTGACAGAACCAACATGAGAGTGGCACTATAAATTATCTGCTTCTGTACCAATGACCCAGTTATATTCAGGCAGAGTGCCTCAGGGCCCAAATGGTTCCCTATGGGTCAAAGGCTAATAAAACGGGCCAGTGTGTGGTCATTTGGGGTTCCAGTCAAACTTAGATCATGTGGAAAATAATCTGATGGTTGAATATCACAAAAAATTTCCCCGCAAATAAAGGAAAATAAATACTGTTGACATTTTTAGGACCATTTTTATTCATTTGCATTTTGACATGACATTTTGAAAACATTTTCCCACCAAACTCTCATTAGTACAATGTAACCGGCCATTTTCAATGTTAATTCTTTTTAAATAGTAATTTCTGCAATACAGTAGTTTAGTACTGTAATAAAATTATTTAAAATTATTATATTATAAAACCCTGTGCGTCGTGGCCACATTACCACCTCGGCTGTGCATTATTTATATTACATGTCTGTGTGTGTAAAAAGAATTGGGATGTCACTATACAAAAAAAAAACTATTTTGAGCATAATATAATTGATAACACTAAACTTAATATAATTGATAAAATATAATAGCATAATAACAAAATAAAATCAGTTGTCATTGTACTGACAGTCTCATTCTTACTCTTCAAAAATGTAAAGTATGTAAAGTAATGTAGGAGCATGGACACAATCCTTGACTCATGGTTAGAAATAAAGTAGTGACTCTTCCCCTCTCTCACCGTCACTCGGCGCAGGCAAATTGTTCTCCTTGACAAAAGCTGTGAAGTCTGTTGGCTGCGGGTAGTCTTGGACGTCAGAGTTCAGCTCCACCTCTACATCATGTCTAGTCCATTTCTGATTGGTGGAGGAAGCCAGTTTCTCCTCATCTGTGGCATGATCTTGTGAAAGGTCAGGATTGGCATCGGGCGAGTCCTCCTGCAGGTGATGATGTGTGTGTGAAGTGGAGGGCGAGAGTGGAGAACACACAGGACAACACTGTTATGATATGAGGTGACAGCAAAAAAAGAAACAGATAATCTTCAGACTGTTTGACTGTGTGAGTGTACTGTAGGTGAATGTGTGCTCATGTCTTAACTTACTTGTGCAGATGGCTCGGTAATCTGAGTCCTCTTTGGAGACTTCTTCACTCTGAAAGTACTACTGTTTAAGACAACAAGACAGAAGTAATTTTGTTAGTTTTTAAAATATCAATTTGGAATAAAACATATAATTTTCCATGTGCCCATTTTTGTCTTCTGTCCAACCAATCAGAATATAAATCTTTTAAAAAACAAACTGTGCACACAGTTTTTAGTTGATGGTTTTTTCTATTTTTTGAAAGACAGTATTATTATTTAACAAAGTTTTAGTTAAATAATACATACCTGTTCTGTTGTTCTGATAAATGTTTTAGAAAACCTTTTGACAATGCAGCTATACTGTAATTCAACCAGTAAATGATGCTTATTACTAAAGGGATACTCCACATTTTTTGGAAATAGGCTCATTTTACCACTTCCCCAGAGTTAAACAGTTGAGTTTTACCGTTTTCAAATCCATTCAGACGATTTTCTGATATTTAGAAGAATATCAGTAACCAGACAGTTTCTGGTCTCATCGACTTCCATAGTGGGAAAAAAATATACTATGGAAGTCAATGGGACCAGAAACTGTCTGGTTACTGATATTCTTCTAAAAAACAGAAAATCGACTGAATACATTCGAAAACGGTAAAACTCAACTGTTTAACTCTGGGGGAGTGGTAAAATGAGCCTATTTCCAAAAAAAGTGGAGTATCCCTTTAAGGATTAATTCTCATCAGTTAAGATTTTACCAGTGCACAATGAAATGGATTATTCAGGGCTTACATTATGATTTACTCTTCTATTAGTGTTGTATATGAATGTTATATTGTGCTTTTATTGTGTGTGAATTGTGTTTTTAATAAATATCTCCTTTGCTATAATGCAATTTTTATGCCATGTTTTTTTTCTACTCACAAATTGAACCATGGCAGGAAATTTAAGAAATATAGCTATTAGTGATGAATTGAAAATATGTCTTAGAGAAGCATGAGGATTATGCAGTAAAAATGTGTGCTTTTGAATTAGGAAATAGATACAAAAACAGATACTCTGCCTTAACACATTCACAGATAATGTTGCCCCTGATGAATTGCTCAATGACCTCACAAGATGACATGTAACAACTTAACAGACTCATATCCGATCCTATTATGTTGCTGTTGTTGACCTTGTTACCATTTCATAGTGTAACTGTGATGTAAATATTTAATTTCAGCAGTATTGTAAAATCTGAAAAGACTGATCCCAAACAGCTGCATTAATGAATCGGGGTGTGCAGGGGGTCTTACACAAGAAGAGAATGTCTCGCTCAAGAGCGCAAAAAAAAGATTCACTTGTCAACTTTGCAATGTTTATTATCCACCAGTGTGTTATCGGCTACTAAGGAGGGAAGATCTCTGAAGGAAGAAAAATCTCTGAATTGAGTCTCTGTCTTGATAAGGAATATATTAAGAGATTAAGAGATAATATGTCAACCTTCACATCTAATTCATTGGAAGAAGTGTCGTCAACACAGCTCAAATTGGATCACATGTACATTGTAATCAAAATAATGTTTTCTAGACTATGTGTTCTAGCCTTGTGCACATTTGCACGTCGGAACTTGTCCTCTGCCCATGTTCCTGGAATTGACTGCGCTTTTCGGGGGGTCCACTAGATGGCAACACATTCTCATTGGATAATATCCAGCATGGAGCAGAGGAAAAACTGAAATCAGTCATATGTATCAAAATGAATAATTAAACCAATTGATGGTGAGCTCATGAGTTAAAACATGTTAAAATGACATTTTGTGTTAATCTATATTATTACGGATGTTGATTTTGCTACATCTCTCTACTTACACGAAGCAACACAGAGAAGAGACATTGCTGGACTTCCTGTGATGCATGAGATCAACAGACAGACATGTGACAAAGGCTGACAAACAACAAGTGGCAACACCCATTCCACTCACATACACACATGTTCAGAAATACACACAAGAAAATGTACTAGCAATTACTGGTCTACACTGGATGAATGGCACACATTATGACCTAATTTGAAATTAAACTGAATTCTGAATTAGAAGTTCAGACTTACGATTTAAGAGGCTTCTTTTTGTTTTTGGCAGGTTTGTTCTGGTTGTGATCCTCTAACTCAACAATGTTATCATTCTCATTATTGGACTGGTCGAAAGAGGCAGCTTTCGTTGGGGGGTTTCCCATATTGTTAGACGATTTGAAGGGGTCGATTGAATCATCAAATGAGTCAGTATCAAAGCTGTAGGATCCTTTAGACAGATTAGGAGAGTTCGGGACACCACTGCTTGAAGAAAATGGATTAAAGTTAGGGTCATCCCACTTGCTGGGGTCAAAGTTATATGACGCCTTAGGGATTGGGATATCATCATTGTCATTTGAAAGTGCTGGAACAGGTGAATTGTCTAGCTGTTCAGTCTTGGGAGGAGGGGCCTTCTTAATCCCCAGTTTTGGCTTTCGGATGGGCATCTTGGCACCTGGTTTCTTGCCCAGGATTTTAGGAGGAGCACTGCGCGGCACCTCTCCGCTGTCCTCTGAATAGTCAAACTCCAGTCTGACTGGTTGACGCTTGGCGATTGGTTGTTCCTCAATGTTTAAGGGTTGCTCTTTAGCAGGGGAAGGGATACAGGGCTCCTCTACAGCAACAGGGGTGCCTGAAACCAATGTAAAGTCAGCTTTCCTGCCTAAGACTGGCGAGTTTGCCACTTTACTGCCTCCTGTATTGAATGGGTCAATGTTCTCAAAGTTGTCCGGATCCCATTTGTAGGAGGCACTGGGAGGGATAGGAGACTCTTCGTCTGGGACAGTAGGAGCCTCTGGTACTGGGTCAGGAAGCTCCGGCTGGAGTTGAGTTGATATTGAGGCGTTAGTGATCTCCTCAGCCAAAGGCGGAGGACTCTCAACTCGAGACTTTATCCTGTTTCTCCGTAGGGTACCAGCAGGACTAGGACTAGGGCTGGGAGAAGAACTAGGCTGCTCTTGGGTTTGCAAAGGGCTTTCAGGATGGGGTTTCCCTCTCTTTTTCTCCTCCGGTGTGCTACTAGAGGACACAGTTTTAGGGGAAGAATGCTCTGGGTTTGAGTTCTGCCTGGAAAGAGGCTTCTTCTTTAGTGACCCTGGACGGGGCTTCTTCACTCTACGAAGGGTTCCCGGAGCGCTCTCTGTTCCTATACTGAAGGACTCTGTTCGTGGGTGAATGGGTTTGTTGGAGGTTCCTACTGAGGATTTGTCTCCTGGGCTCTCTAACTCACCCGACTGTAGGCTTAGAGAGCGGGTGAGAGGCGCTCGGCTTGATGATCCAGACCCAAAATTTGGTTCCAGTAAAGGGTCATTGGCGATTAAGTGCTCTAGGTTGTAGGCACCGCTAGCAGCTATTGGTTTGTCTTCATCAAAGACTGTAGATTGAGAGCGACTGGCAGGTTTAAGTTCTGGGTCTTGAGCTTCACTGGCCGAGATGTCAGCAGTGGAAGCTGTGAAGATGGAGAATGACATGTTACTATAGATTTAAAAAAATAGATTTGAAGCACATCACAGAATAGTACTCAAAGATGTATTGATATTATTTTAAGTTAAAAAGCTGAAGAATGCAGAAGTATAGAGTACAAAAGAAGTTTGCGTGTTAGTTTTTTTTTTTTTTGTAAGGTATTTTTTTAAAATACCTTCAACAGCAATACACTACATTTCCATTAGAGGGAGTACGAGTGCAGTGCTTGATAACAAAGACTGCAATACTCCAAGTCGGAGATTAAAGGAAGTAAAAAAGGCATTTTCCTTCTTGATTTAAAAAATTTTGGAAAATAAATCTGAGCAAGAAAAAAAAACATGAAAACACTGGGAAAATAAACTGAATTGAAGCAATGAATATAGACAACACATTTAATTGGATATCCATCTTTTTGTTTCCAAAAAAGCACAAACTGGCATCAAAAATTAGCATATAAAATATTCAAGATCTAGTGTATATTTCTAGCTATAGTTACTTAGATAATGTGTTTTTCATAACATTTCTTGGGTTCCAAAGTTAAGAATCGTATATAATGTTGTTCTACACTCTCTGCTAATTTATACTTTCCTTTTTAATTTATATAAAAAAAATTGTTTAGATAAGAAACAAACTACATTTTCAATGTCCTACAATCCAAGCCTCGCCTTAAGCATTTCATTGCCTAATAAACCCTAAATAAAACGATTTGACTCGACATAAGATCATTGTAGTGTGAATTGTGATGTAATGAAGATCTTCAATGTACCTGTGTGTTTTGGGGACAATGCCTCTGAGCTGGTGCAGGGGTGTTCTGCTGGGGGCAGTGGTGGGGAAGCAGACTTCACAGGAGTTGTGGACTCAGGGGTTTCGAATGCTCCGTCTGAGTCTGAGCTCCTACACAAGAGACAAAAGAGACAAAAGAGAGTCTGAATATATTGAATTAAGAGTTGATTTAATAATCTTGAAGTATAAACATCAGGTCTGTTCAATATTCAAACAAGCAACATCCATTTACGAGGCAACGTATCACAGCTTACATTTAGATACATACATTTAGATACACCTATAGTGTATTAAACAATTAATCATTGTGTGCTAAACCCTGCCAACAAATGCCTGCCTCAGCATATGTCTAGCAGGCCCTGGTGGATTATTACAGATGAAAATGTGAACGTGAAGCTTGGAGACCAATAAGAGCAGCTCAAACACAAATTACACTCATTCACTCATTATTTGATTTTAACCTACTAAGTATCACAGTGAAGGTGTTATTTTCAATTGAACACATTTCATTGCCATTTCAGTAAAGACTAATGATTGCCTATTTAGTTGATGCAACAAAATGTCGGTTCGTGAACGTTTTTGATCTTGGCATCAGTGTATAATACACAAATCTGACATAGTATGTGATGGTATAGGTAAACACATCGGTACAAACAAATCAAGTCCAAATACGGCAACAAAGGCGTAGCCTCAGACAGATGTGCAGACCCCCGCCTACTGTCTCACCGCAGTAGTCCCTGTCCTCTCCCTGCTGTTACCCCACGCTCACCTCTGCCTGCCGTGGATCATGTAATCATGTCTGGAGGTCCAGCTGAGGCGCCGTAGGAGCCCTAGGGCTGGGTCTGCCTCATCCTCTCCGGATGTCCCTCCAAGCAGTGTGTCCCAGCCCCAGCGAGCCCACTGCAGCGGAGACAGAGCCTGCCACGCGCTCACAGCCATATCTGCCACCGATCACAGGCTCACGGTCACTCTCACACGTTCCTCATACCTAATGCCGATTCTTGAAAATCTGGCGCACCACGGTTCTATGGCTTTATGTGCCGTGTTCCCTTCTCCCTTTTACCCATCCCTCCCTTTTTTGTATTGTATGTTCTCTTTCTCCGGTATCTTGCTGAAGGTGGGCTTTATCCAAATGAAACCCGTTGCAGATACTCGCCACTTGCAGACTCATTACTTGGCTCTCTCTCTCTCTCTCTCTCTCTCCTCAGACACATTTTCCCTCCCCCACGTTTAGGAGAGAAGCAGACTTCTCACTCTGGCTCCTGTAGTATAAAGAAAAAAATGTTTTTCTTTTTACTATATCCTGATATTTTTTCATTATTCCTAATTTCTTTTTCTTTCTTTTTACTACCCGAGCTGAAATTCACAGTCATTCTCTCCTACTGTACTGTATACCCAGAGAGAGCAAAAACAAGTCTATGATTGGTTTCTCTGTCTGTACTGATATGCCCTATTGTATCCACAGAAAAGACTTTGGCTGCAGTCATACACTCAGTTTTGCTGCATCAAACACTGGTGAATGTATTGACGCCTTTACTTCAGTGCAGTGAACAGAACACACCCATTCCCTGCTGAAAAGACCAACACGTGTTTTGGATCCTGGTCCATAGGAAGCTAATCAGAGATCTTAACCAGCAAGACAATCTAGACCAGCAGCAAATCAGCATAACTTAGCCTAGACCAGCATGGAAATTTTCTTTCTTTTCAGTAGGAGTATTTCTGACAAGAACAAGTACATACTTACAAACATGAATCACATTTGAGCGTGTCAAAATGGTAGTGGTCTTCCACAGTGCTAAATCATATTCTTACAGTCCATCTTCACAATAATTTTAGAGTAAATTAAATAACAACACATGCAAAAACTTATATGACCACATATGCCCTCTAATGTGACATTTGGATCCAAATTCTAATGACACGCATCCAGCAGTTTATAAGCAAAATACTCTTCATAACCTCAGAAGAATGACCGTAAACGACTCTCTCCTTTTCCCTGACCTGATCAGCAAACACAATGTCAACAAAAGAGGATGACACGTACATACTGATCATATAATTTAATGCTCAAACACACACCCAAGAACTACAACAAACTACTCATTTGGACTACAATGTGTTTTTCTGGATCTTGTGAAGTCATAATGTAACTCATTTAAATGGAATAAAAAAAAGGTGTCGAGGCCTGGTTGAGCTGCATTAGAGAAGACAGTGTTGTTGTCAAAGAGAAACCGTTTTTTCAGCTAACCAATTCAAGGACATTTCGTATCTCCAAAGTTCAGGCCAAACTGGGGAGAGAGGTACTGTAATAATGTAAAATATGTAAAAATAATGTTTTTTTAAACAATCAAGCATAAAAAAACTGAATCAAGACTTCGTAAAAGGGCGTATTAGGACCCCTTTAACATCTATAAGTACAGATCAAAACCAAAATGATTGCAATGTGTAAAACTCTAATTTGATAAAGACAGAGAATTAGAGCAATACAAAAAGTACACTTCTTACAAGTGTAGCAATGTAAAGTTTAGATTATAATATTGATTTTTGTATTCAAAGATAATTTCATTAATATTACATTCAATACCATTCAAAGAGAGATGGAATGCATTTTGTCTTCCCGTCTAATTTTGCAGCTTTCAGTGTGTTAATGACATTCAATGAGACAATTATCAGTTAATGAGCATTGTAGCCCATGCAGTGATGTTTCCACATATCTGGCAAGCACACTGTTGCCATGGTGACGGTGCTCTCTAGACATATGCTCCCATGTGCTAGACAACACGCACACTGGCAACATAAAATCCTGGATGAAGCCTTAAATTTCCTTCTCTTTCGCATAGATCCACACATGCACAGGAAGTCTATTAGAGCGTAGACAACCCATTTATTTCCTGGTATGGGAAAATAAAACACTGATTTATTTCTGAAAGTCTGCTGGGGGAGAATTAGATGGAGCACTGTTTCATCAAGCTTATGTTCCTCTCGGGGGCTTTAAAAAAAGGGTTTTCCACATCCTACTTGAAACTCTAGTCTAGATAAGGAAAATATCTATTATAATAGTAGGCCTATATATAAAATCCCTGTTTAATTTTGCAAATCTTTAGGACCAAATATCTACTAAACAGGTAAGCATCTGCAATAACCATTATAGGTTTGGATATAATAAGACAAGTCATTTCAGGTGAGTTTATGTGCTTGGAGACAGTCAGGCTTGTCTGGCACAGAAGGCACTGCTGGGTTCAGCAACAGACACTGCTGTGAAGCACGACAACCCACAAAGCTGTTCCAACAACGCGAACCTGAACGAAAGGACAGCTATAGTGTGACAGAAAGGAGAGTGATCAAGAAATGTCTCTTAACAAACAACTGCTAAAAGATATTAACACATAAGCCTGCTTTAATCATACTATGTGCATCTAAAATCCAAATTGTAAACGTAACCATAATTAAAATTATCTTGGGAAGAAAAGAAAATAATCTAGGCTATTGGTTAAAAAAAGGTTGTGATGTGCTCATTTTTATAGCAGAGGGTACAACATGTAAAAGAGATTGAGATATTGACACAGGTTGACCAAAAGAGGGAGACAAATGAGTCAGTAATAGAGGGAGAGCGAGACTGGCTATGCTCCAAATAGACTACTAGCACATCGGTTTCGAACACAAGGGGGCCTCAGCGAACTCTGTGGGGGGGTCACGTCAGATTTTGAAAGGTTTAAGCAATGAGCTTTAATTAAAACTTTTTTCTGTTCAAAATTTACGAAATGTATAAATAAGCGAGTTCATCATAAATCCATTTTCCAATCCGTGTTTTTGACTTATCCTGAACCACTATGGTACACCTATAATTGGGACTATTTTGCACTGGTTCGGATCACTGCCTCTGCGGAGTAGCCCAGTTCCTTCTTAGTACACAGAAAGTAGTCGTTCCGGCTAAAATGTTCTTCCAAAAGAAGCATTATTCAGTTAATAAATTAAAGTTTGTTAACGCTCGCTATAGCGCCAAAAGTGTAAAAAATAAAGCCTCACATTGATAAAGCCTCACAAATAATATGCAAGAATTGAGGACCCAGACAACAGTAATTTAGGAATAGCCTATATTCTTCTTTTTTTTGTTACCTACACATCAATGTGAATATTTTTTTTTTACATTTCAAATAGGGCCGATTTATAGGCTTCTCCTAGGTTTACGTTTTTAAATTACAAAGGGCCTATTAATGTTTTTGCTATTGTATTTATAATATTATAGGCTATTATTTGTGCACACCGTTTGTTTGGAAAAAAAAAAACATATTTTGTCATCCTTGCTGCAAGATTACAAGAGCGATAATATAATTAAATGTGCCCTAAAATATTTCTTGGGAAAAAGGGGGTCTCAGACAAAAAAAGGTTGGGAACCACTTTACTAGCACTCTGTCACTGTGTGCTGGTGTGTACATGCTATCCCGAACATAGACCGTGTTTCCAACCCTTAAAAGTCCCTTAAGTAAACTTCAATATATTTTCTTTCAAAGTCAGGAATGTATATCTTTATATCTCAAAATTACCAATGCAGTGTGTTACGAGTAGATTCCTCCTTTCTTTGGCAACACCTAGAATTTATTCAAAACTTTATTAATCTCTATATGAGCTGATTAAGCAATCCTTGATTCAGTTCAAAATTATCATATTTCAAATCAGAAATCCTGCAGTACCATAAAACAGTTCATAAATCTACAGTACCAAGGCTCCTCAGTGGGATGCAGCGATGTACCAGCTTTCACCACCAGAACTATCAAATAATTCAGGCATATTCTCAATATTTTATGTGTTCTAGATCTCCAGCAGCACTGAGCTTATTTCAGGGTTTAGGGAGTGGTGAGTGAAAGGGAGAGATAGTACTGGTAATACACATCACCAAATGGGACGTCTCAAAGCTGAATCACCACATTGAGCTCATTTTGACACTAGGGCAGCAAAAGACAGGGTGAATTTCTAATGGACACATGATGATATCACATACTGTTGGAAGAGAAGGATACATGATCGCCGGATGCCCCGTGACAGTCCTATTTTAACACGCCATGGATGACAAGATGATGATTACACAACAGCACACTCCAGATAACTCAGTA